CGGCGCGGGGCCGACAATCAGCTGATCCAGCACAGTGCGGCAGTCTAGATGTGGATCGATCTACAAGGGAAGCCTTTGTTGACCGCTGCCTTATGCCTCGTGAAATGAGATTTACAGGAGCGGTCGAAAAGGCTTCCCTTATCGACCGATCCGCGTCTAGACTGCTGCACTGTGCTGGATTAGGTGATTGTCGGCACAGCGCAGCAGCAATTTTATTTTAATGAAACAGGGATTATTTAAATCCCCCCTTCATTGACTATGTCGGGTAAACTAGTTTACATGGCTCTGTCGACAGAGCCATGTAGTCTAGACACACCCAGAGTATAGATGAGCTTTGGATATGCATGCCCACCTTTTGAATGTTTATCTAATCACAGCTTACAGACCACATCAAATTCATCTTTCTGAAAATGTTAACGAAGGGGAATGGCATTCCTACTAATTGCTTCTCAGTAGGAGCTCTCCTCAACATTAGAATCAAAGAACACTAGAACTGGAAGTGTCCAGTCCCCTGCCCTCATGGCTGGATCTAGTACCATTTAAACCATCCCTGATAGATGATCTATCTAACCTGCTCTTAAATATCTCCAGATATGGAGATTCCACAACCTCCCTAGGCAACTTATACCAGTGGTTAACCATCCTGACAGTTAGGAAGTTTTTCCTAATGTCCAACCTAAACCTCCCTTGCTGCAGTTTAAGCCCATTGCTTCTTGTCCTAACATTAGAAGGAGCCTTTTTAGAACTTGGTTTTGCAGACCTCTCTCCACCCCTCTTTCCTGGTGGTTTTGGAAGTCACATATTGGAGTTTGTGGTACCTTAATGACTAACAGATGATGAGGGCATAAACTTTTGTGGGTAAAACCCACTTCATCAGCTGTATTGGAGTGGAATACAGGGTTAATGATGTTAATCAAGTCAGGGTGGAAGTGGCTCATTCATAACTTTTGGTGTGAAAATATGAATACAAAAGAAGGGAAATTGCCTTTGTAGTGTGTTAACCAGTTAAGATCCTTATTCAGTCCTAAATTGGTTGTAATGAATTTGCAAATGGACTTCAGTTCAGCTGTTTCCCTTTGTAATTGGGGTTTGAAATTATTTTGTAGAAGGATGGCTACTTTCAAATCCATAAGTTTATGCTCTAATAAATCTCTAAAGTGCCACAGGACTCCTTGTTATCTTTGTAGATGCAGACTAATGTGGATACCCCTCAGATTTTGGAGTTTGTATTTAGAACTTGAAGCATATTAGGAAGAGCCAGGGCAGCTGAGCTGAGAACTCAGACAGGGAGGAGCAGGGGAAAGCAGGCTACACTCATGGGGTATTTTCCTAAGTGCTAGTAGTTGCTGTGGGATAGGAATAGGTTCTCAAATCCAGGACATTTTTTAAATAAAAAAGTTTAGGCTAATATATTCTCAGCCGTCAGTGGTTTCCCTTTTGTAGCAAGCTTAATGCATATAGGAGGAGTCGGCTTGGATCCTAGGGCTCTGAGGTAAAGCTGTGTGAAAAGGAATTGTGCTAAGTATGGCTTAAAAAGCTCTTAGCCTGCTGAGACGTGCAGGAGTATGAATACTCACTGACTCAAATACCATTCTGTTCAAAAGGGTTCTGAACCCTGGGTGTTGGATTTCTCCTTTTTTGAGTAGCCAGGAAGGCATGGCATATTAAAGTGGGCACCAATGGGGCTTATCTCCTTAAGAGGAGAATTACAATGGTGCTAATGGTGGGTACAAAAAAAATCAGCTTCCTCAGACCCTTTCCTGGCTCAATTTCCTTGCCCACACACCAACTATTCAAAAAAAAGAGACCGAAGTCAAACCTATTGCAGAAGCCCAGAGCTTCTGACGGTGCTCATTTCCTTGTGGGTATTCCAGTTCTTTGATGTTCTAGGGGTTGTACTCTTGCAAATTAGTCTTGTTAACACTCAGGGTTCAATGATACTTACAGACTGATTTGTCAGAATAATGGTAGCAATCAAAGAGCTCTTTTGGCTCAATCTGTGCCTAATGTGCAGTGATAATCTGCAAGAGTGGGTCTGTGTAATATGAGCAGAGGTTTTATTAGAGTGGGCATGGCTTTCACTCAAATTACCATGGCCCCAGGGTCATTATATACACTTGAATTACTATCCCTTACCTGTTTTCCATACAAATAAAATCAGCACACGGATTCATATGTGTTCTCTGTTGACTGTTCTTCTAGTTATATTTTTGATATGGAAACAGGATGAGGTCATTCCAGACAGACCTAGGGTTGCTTCCAGGCAGCTGCTAATGTTTGCACATATGAACACATCGCTCCTTCTCTTGGGCATAGGTAGAAGAGAAAGGGCAAGTGAAAAATAAAGAGGGGAAATAGTCAAACCATTTAA